TGTACACGTGATGCATGTGGCGATATTCTGGTGGCGCGTGAACATGGGAACTCCATCCGCTCCCCGGATTTGGCTGATGTTTCCGGGCAAAAATGGAACAATGGTCAATGCAGTGGTCGATGCACGGTCTGAACCTTCAAAGCTGGTGTTTCCCGCCGGAACAACCACCAAAAGTGCACAACGTGTGTGCACACTAAAAACCAGGTCGCAACCACATGCAAAATGCGTCGAATTCTTCGAATTCTGGCGCTTTCTGGATGGGCCACTGGTAAGCAGCATTCGGTGGATACAGGATCAGGATCGTGAGAAATGTACATTTCAGACTGATGTGTTTGAGAAGACGCCTTGACCACCAGTTGCCGCCCGCGGGGATGTTCCATCTTGCACAGCAAATCCATTCGGTAATCTTATGTGGTTGGAACTCGCTGGAACCATCATGCACTACAGAGTTCACAATGACCGCTGTATTGCAAACGACATTGGACAGAAATATGCTACAATAGGCAGAGCCGATACATCCAAGGTAAACCTGGAATCTCTAACCATTTTCAGATCAAAAATTTGACTGGTCTGTACATGTTACGTTTAGCGGTCGATTTTCACTTGGGGTAGACTTACACTCCTAGAAAGGACCGACATCTTTCAAGATAGCTATTAGGCCGTTGGACGACGTTAAAATTGCACTGCAATCCACAGACAGAAGTTCCCCAAAGGTATTTCACACTATTACGGCTGCGCATCAGCCTACTGCGCAGCGGAACACTCATGTGAAACAAGGACGTCCGATTATGGCCATACGTCTGAATAACGTCAGATTTCATCATCAGGTCAAAAAGTTACACAGAAATTTCACGCTCACTCCATGGCCAAGGCACCCCGTACACAAGCGAACAGACGGCCATCTACGATCAATCGAGACAAAGGAACAACCGCCCGAGGAGACCGGGGGGGGGGGGTGGGAGACACACTGGTTGGTTGACAGCGGATCGACCGCCAAATACGGTGACAAGTGAATCATATAGAGAGAGACAGAGTTGAAATTGCGTTAATGCACAGTTGCTTCTGGTCGCCTTCTTGTTTTCTGACCATAACCAAGTAGCGCCAGCGAAGGTGAAGAGATACAACACACACAATCCATCTACCACGTTTATATTCACATAAGTAAACATTGTTGCTAGGGCAACACCACACCCGTTGCTTTCAGATGAGATCAACTATCTCATCGTAACACAAAACTTATTCCGTTAGTGTGCTCGAAGAGTTCCAAATATGGGAGAATGTATGCGAAATATGATGTTGACAAAACCAAGTCGCGTGTATGAGGCGAGTCAACCTAATGAAGACAGACTTCAGGACGACAGAACGTGATCATTGCACTATTGGTGAATTTTGACGCTCCCATTCTGATTTGCAGTAAACGGTCCTCAAGGCCACCCACAGTTGGGTCACATGAGTGGC